TTGATTAACCTGGCCGGGAAGCGAGCCCTAGGCAAGCCCAGTGGGGCTGATGCTGACTGCTGCCTCTCTCAGGCCTTAGCCTCCCAGCACATCTGCCAGGACCAGACACAGAGGTTCCACCTCACTGTCCCTGAGGGCGCTTCCAAAGCCTTGGAAGACCCTTTGCCCTCACAGCCCAGGTAACTAACATCCTGTGAGCAGGCCTTATGCAGGAGCTGATGGAATTGGACGCACAAACATCCCAGCTTCCTCCCAGGTGGGAATATTCCAAAGCTTGTGTCATAGTACCTCCTGAGCTCCCATGGGACCTTGCTTAGCAGCCTCTTCCCTTCTTTCACACCCCCCTCCATCCAAAATAAAAACACTTACACTGCACCTTTGTCTCAGGGGGTTGCTTAACCAGGACCCCGAAACACCAGTTAGCCCTTTTTCACTTGCCGTCTGGAATCCAAGGCTGCTGCAGCCCGAAATGCTCACTCATCCTCAGAGCATGGCTGTCAGCTCTGTCCTGCCTCCGGCAGGTGGAGGCTTTGGGGGCAGAGGCTCTGGACCAGCTCAGGCTGCCAGGTGGCCTGGGGAGGGCGGAGATGGGGGTGCAGTTCTGGGGGTCACTCCTGCTTGCTCACGGTAGGGAAGGGTTAAGAGAGCGCAGTGCAACCCTGGGGTCTAGCTGCGGAGGCCCTAGGAAAAAGAAGAGGAGGCCCGGCTTAGTTCTCAGAGCCATTTTAAAGCCATCTTTCCTAGCGTGTGAGGGGAAGGGAGCTCCATTTGTCAGCTCAGGTAGAAGAACTGGTGGCATCTGAGCTCACACCTGCATAGCCTCTGTGACGTCCCCACAGAGGCTCCATCAGTCAGAGCAACGCGCCGGTGTCCCATGAAGGGCGACAGTCAACTGACAGATCGAGCTGCGCCCATATGGAGTGGCACGCTGCCTTGCCCCCCCATCCCAAGAGCAACAGCATTTGTCAGGAAGCTCCCCGTGGGCCTGAGAAAACGCGGTCTCTGATTCACCGGAGCCTCTGCATGCTCTCGCCTGTCAGAGGCATGGCTCTGCCACTGGCCCTTCATGGCCTGGGCTGACCTGCGAATTTTGTGCAGGAAGCCCACACACACTTACCGTGTGCACACACACCTACCGTGTGCACATACACACATGCACACACACACATGCAGCTGTCACACGTCCACCCAGCCCCCACTAAAGAAAAAAAAAAAACCCTTTTGCTTTTCTAGACAAAGTCCTTTTCTTTCACAAGTTGTTCTTGTCTGATCGGCCCCCAGCTGTACCCTCAAATCCCTGTGGCCCTTCCAGGGGCCACCTGTGTTTGCCCCTGGGGCTCTCCAGACAGCGGCTCAAGGCTCATGTGAAATTCCGCGTTGACTTTAGAAGGATTCTGTGGTGTCCTGATTACCACTCTGTCCTTATGAACTGGATTAGAGGGCCCTTAACAGATAATGCCTGGAGTCCTCTCTGCTTGTCGGACATTGAGCAATTATGAGCGGGGTCTTAAGAGATAAGTGAAACAGTGATGCCTCAGCCAGGAGCTCAAAAGGTGGTTCCAGGGAGGCTTTCACAACAATACCCGGTGCAGGCGGGAATGATTGCCCTGGCTTTGGACGCTGAACTATGAGACTCTCGGTGAGATCTTTTCATATCGGGATAAGACCTGGGTAGCTCTTAATCCTTTAATTCTACCAGTTGGCCAGGAGCTAGAATTGGATTTGGAGCCTAAGGGAGGAAGAAGGGAAAAATCAACAGAGGAATTTTATTTTATTTTATTTTATTTTTTTCCATTTATTTTTATTAGTTGGAGGCTAATTACTTTACATCATTGCAGTGGTTTTTGTCATACATTGAAATGAATTAGCCATGGATTTACATGTATTCCCCATCCCGGTCCCCCCTCCCACCTCCCTCTCCACCCGATCCCTCTGGGTCTTCCCAGTGCACCAGGCCCGAGCACTTGTCTCATGCACCCAACCTGGGCTGGTGATCTGTTTCACCCTAGATAATATACTTGTTTCGATGCTGTTCTCTTGAAACATCCCACCCTCGCCTTCTCCCAGAGTCCACAAGTCCAACAGAGGAATTTTAAAATCTTCATTGTTGGGCCCAGCCAGGGGTCATGCCAGGAGCACGACTTTGGGGAGGGATGCCCAATGGGTTCCCCTCCATGGAGGGGTGTCCAGACTCAGGGTGTCAGGCTGCCAGGGGCCCTGGTGACCACTGACCAGAAAGGCATGCTATGAGGGCAGGAGGGTCTTCGACTCGTGGGGCAGGAAGCAGTGGGTGCTTCCCGCATACTGCCTCCCCATAGAGTAGGAAGAATAATCACCTTTGTAATGAGCAACTGATACACCCCTCCATCTATGTGAAGCATTTATAGAAGCATCTTTGGAGAATCAATAACTGGGCAAATGAAAAGCATGCCGTGGTTCACTCTGCCCCCTAAACATGATTCCACACGGCAGCTCCTCCTCATTGCCTGGAACTGCAGCCCCCCTGTTCCACAGGCCCTTTAGCAGCCTCACCCTAGGCAGCATAGGGGCCAAGGAGGTCTCCTTTAGAAAAGAGAAAACGGAATGGGAGGCAAGGATGGGGTCAGAGGTCCCACAGGGAGGCCCTGACCCCTGAGAGCCTCATGTTGGAGTCACTGATGTGACAAGCCTTGATGGAAACATCCTAAAGGCAGGTCAGAGGCCATGAGCACAGCCTTGGAGAAGCATCTACTACAGGGCCTCATTCATTCACTCATTCTCTCGGCCTGCTCTGTGCCATACCTGGGCTCTGTGCTGGGGCAAAGCAACCGACAGCTTTGGTTCTCCCCTCCAAGGCCCCACAGGCCAGAAGGGGAATGGAGATGGGAATTGCCAGTTACAAAGCAGCATGGCTGTGCTGGACAGGGGGAAACCTGGGGGGCCACAGGAGCACAGAAGAGCCGGGTACCTACCCAGATTGGGAACTGAGTCCTGCTGATGGGGTAGGAGCTGCCAGGAGAACACACTGTCCCATTCCCTGTCCTGGATCTTCAGAGGCTCTGAGGTAGGACAGGAGAGGGAGGGACTGTGAGAGGGAGAAGAGTAAGCATCCATCTCCGTGTCACCCATAACAGGAATAAAACAGTCTTCAAAGATTATTCTTCTGCTCCAGACATTTTAAGCCAGAATCTCAAAAGGGAAGAGACTGAGACAAGATCTAGGGCCCCTAAGCCCCACACAGAGCCCACCTCCCTCAGCAGAGGGCTGCAGCAGATGGATGGATGACTGCTCCACAGCTGGACAGCTGCTCAGGCCAGCAGATTGCAACCCAGGACCCTGTGGGATGGATGAGGAAATGATTTCCAGAGAAAGCAAACTGGCCTATGGACACAGGAATGGTGCACAGAGAACCCCCTGGAACCAGGTCTCTGGGTTCCCAGTCCAGGTACATTCAGGCCTCCATCCAGGGGCATCACGTGGCAAGAGCAGGAAAAGAGCTGGCAAGGCTTCACACTGTCTGCACCCCTTCTTTGCTGCCCCTTCTCGTGTCCACAGAGGACGCCTTCCCTGCACACAGAGGCAGATGAGGTAGAGGCCGAGACCTGGTGGGAGGGGAGGGGACCAAGAGATGCCACCATTCATTTTGCCGTCTGACCACATGCTGACTGGTCCTTGAGAAGTGTTTGGTTAATGGATTTCTTTTTTTTTTTTCAGGAAGAAATATCCTCAGTTTTCAAGTTGGACTCTTAGTTGCAAATGACCAAATTGCAATTTAAACTGGAAATAAAAGGGTGGAGGGCAGGAAGTTTCAGGTTCCTGAAAAGTCCAGGAGTGGACCTGGTATAGGTTCAGGCATGGCTGGATCCAGGCATTCACCTCCAGCCTCTGGCTCCTTAGCTCTGCGTGGCTACTCTCTCAGCCAAGCTGAGCGGCAAGATGGCCTGCTATAGCCCCAGATCTGCCTCCTGTCGGCACAGCAACCCCTCAGGACAGGACGGCACTTCAGAAAGTTCCAGACGAAGTCCTTGGGCTGCTTCTTGGCACAAATGGTCAGCTGAGCATCCATGAATCAGATGCTGGCTGGGGACATGGTTCTGTCCTGAGACAAGCCTGGACAAGTTATCCACTTTAAGCCAGAGAGTGGGTCATTCTCTGCATGGACCAAGAACTGCATGGACCAAGTTACTTTTTGCACTGGGGTCCTGGCAGGGGTGGGAAGAAGGGAGGGGCGTGGGGAGGGAGGGAGGGTGTGCTTCAACAACCTTTTCCCAAGCTCAGGAGTGGGGCAAACAATGGGGACTGCACCTGGGGGACACAGGCAAGCCCACGAGGGGCACAGCGCTTGGTGGGCCCCGCAGCACCTACTCTTCAGCGCCTGGACAACGGCACCCCCACCTCACGCCTTGCCCCTCCCCATCCAGCAGCCTCTACCCCACCCCCCACGCACCCAGCGGCCCCAATCCCGGGGGGACCATTTGGGAAAAGGCAGCTGTCCCCTGTGCTGGTTATTGATTTAATTTCTGTTTACTTCACTGTAAGCTTAATTTGCTGTGTTAATGGCATTTTAATCCACTTGCCGGTTGCATGGGGCTGATAATACCACACTTTTGTGCGGCAGCGGTGACATTTCTTTGTGGCTGGGTTCTTCGGTGGGTGGGGCCGGGAGTCCTTCCCCGAGCACTGCGCTCCCCCACCCCGGAGTGACACCCTCGGCCAGACCTTGGAGGTGGCAGACACGGCTGCCTGCTCTCTGGAGATTCAGGACAGTGCTCCAGAGCGGAGGGTACCCTAGCTAAGGCCCGCCCATGAGCCCAGAAGGAAACGGGCTGCTCCTGTGGGTGAGGAGCTGTGCAGGGCTTGAGCGGTGACAGTGGCCTTGGGGGTCCGGGGCTGCCCTGGCCAGGCATGGCGTCCTGGTGGGATCAGCCCCGAGCAGGGCTTTTGAAATCAAAGATAGAAACAAGCCAGATAATTGAGGGATTCTAGAAAACTTTAACCGAATCTGATTCCTCCATCTGTAGCCACACTCTGATCGCTGCCGGTGCTCTGGCGCCCAGTCACCATCCGCCCTCCCGGGAGCGGCAGGTTCTGCCTTTCACTGAGTCATCTTCGTGTGAGCAGTGTGAGCAGGTGTCACCATGGGCGGGGCGCCTGCTCGGCTTCGGAGGGCTGCGCTGGAAACCCAGCTCCGGCCGTCAGGTCTACATCTATCTGGAGAGCGGAGGCTGGGTCCCGACCAGGGCGGCATCGCAGGCTTCAGCTGACCTGGTGCCAGGTAAGCCCCGGTGCTGTGTGCAGGGCGGTCACCGGGGCAGTGAGCCGGGAGGGCCTTCCCGCGGGGCAGAACTGGACACCTGCCGTGCCCACGACCCCGAGGCCGGCCGGAGGACTACCTGCCATTAGGGTCACAGCCAGAGCTGGCCCTTGCCCCGAAGACAGCCCCTGCGGGTGGCCGGCGGTGGTCAGTGGGCAAGCCGCTCGAGCCGACGGGTGTGCGTTTTCTGCAGAGTGAGTAATGACCGGGCACAGCCTCTCCATGGAGGAGGTGACATGCGCCCAAGGAGCGCTTCACAGTCAGGGTGCAGAGGTCAGGAGACATACAGAGAGTGTAACGAAAACGATCATAAAGTAAGAAGAGGAGGAGGAGGAAATATTTACGGCTCTTCCTGGTGCCAGGCACTCTCCCAAGTGCTCTCCTTGCGTTATTACACTTAAGCCTCATAACAACCGGGTTGTTTTTCTCATTTTATGGAAAAAAAAACAAAACTGAAGGTTAAGAGATGGTCACACAGATTGGATCCAGCAAAGCCAAGACTTGAACCCAGGAGGTCTGACTCCAGAGCTTGTGTTCTTAGATAAAACCCAGAAGGCAGAGGTCGCAGGGCAGTGGAGGCTTCTGCCAGGAGGAGAGAGGAGGCGACGGGACAGGGACAACAGGACAGCCGGATCACAGGACGGACAGCAGGACACTGCTGCTTAGCTTGGGCCCCTCCGGGACTGCCGTCCAACCCCGCCCTGGGGCCACGTCCCTCCTCTGCCCTCTAGCCTTTCACTAGAGCTGGGAGACTGAGCCCGTTCTCCCTGACACCCCAGAAGGGACAGGCCACCCAGAACCCTTTTCTGGTTGATTCTTCCTGTCCCAGACCTCCAGACGCAGCCGTTCCACCATCCCAGGGCTGTGCCCAGGGACCAGGGGTGCCTGTCTCCATCTCCCTGTTTGGGCTGTGGTCGCTCTTATGTGTGTGTGCACCTTGCACGTACACACACACGCCAACACCAGACACCCCCAACTGCCCAGGCGCTCATCCTCATCAGAGGGTCATTCCAGTGGTCTGGAGGCACCCCTTGTTGGGAGACTGCTCATTGAGAGCCACACAGCCTGTAATGACCCTGGGCATTTCCTGGGATTAATGGCCAGCAGGATTAATGGCCCTCAGCGACACCCCGGGCCATTAGGCACCAGGAAGCCCCACACCTCAGTGGCTATTACTTAAGTGGAAGACATTAGCGAGCTAACAACAATGTCTAACAAGGAGGGAATTATCAGGAGAGCGCCTGTCTGCGCTCATTACCTGGTCAGGCCCGAGGATAAGAACTTCGGCCAAAGGCAGGGGCGCCCCTTCCAGTCCCGTCCCCTCCCCCATCTTCTGGAGGCTTCTGTTCAACCTGGAATCTCTCCTTTTGGAGCATTTGTGTGTGTGTGTGTGTGTGTCTGTCTGTCTGTCTGTGCCTCTGTGTGTATGTGTACATGTGTCTGTGTCTCTATATGTACATATGCCTGTGTATGTCTGCGTGTCTATTTGTGTCTGTGTGTATGCCTGAATACATAGTATTTGTGTGTCTGTGTGCATGTCTGCGTGTCTGCTTGTGTCTTGTGTGTCTGTGTGCATGCCTGAGTGTGACTGTGAGTGATGCTGGGTGTGTATGTGTGCATCTGTATGTGTGGTGTGTGTATGTCTGCATGTATAGTGTCTGTGTCCCTGTGTGTATGTCTACGTGGCTACTCTTGTCTTGTGTGTCCGTGTGTGTGGTATGTTCGTGTGTGCATGTCCTTGTGCATGCATTTTATAAAAGACCTCCCACTCTTACCTCTGGAATGTCAGCATCCCCTTGCTCTCGCTTCTGTGAGGCAAATTCCTTCTCCACTGACAGCCAGTCCCCGACCTAGACCTATATCAACCTCTAGGACCACACTGCATCTAGCCCTCCCTCCACCTCACGTTCTCTGCTCCAAAACAGCTTGCTTTTCAATCAACCCTTTATTCTGCAAATGTTTCTGAGCCCTCAAGGAGCTGTCACATTCCCTGGGCAGCCCTGGGATTCAGGAGCTGCCTGCCTTCGGGAAGCTTATAGCCTATAGCAGGGAGGATAGAGAATGACCTTTCATGCCAGAATATAAGGACAGTTTTCCCAAAATTGTCCTGTAAAAAAATGGAGAGCTGCCTTGTGCTCGGGTGTTTGCAAAATCTTCTATCACATTGCTGGCTCTCTCCTTTCTGCTTGAACTTAAAGGAAAGATACATTATGCCTGTATGTTCTACAGGTTTTAATCATCACTAGCTCTGGGTGCTCATAGAAATCACCATATGGAATCAGTGAAAAGAAAAAACAAAGAAATGGAACAATCATAATTATTCTTATTCATGGGGAGGGGTGTGATCTCAAAATTGCAGGTACTGGATGTCATTGGAAAGCAGTTTTTTAAGGGGTACTTTAAAAAGCAATCCAGAAAGTGGTTGTTCTATGGAGAACATGGATAGCAAATGATGTTCCTGGCTTTAGGTACAATTCTTGTCAGCATCCTCACAGATTCAAACAGTTCTGCATCCTACAGGTGGCTGGAGGTGGGGCCTGAGAACATGACTTCTGCTAGTGAAGGCACTGAGATGGAAGTGCTTGTGGGGCGTTTACATGCAAGGGATTCCTAGCGCGGGAGAATGAAAAAGTGTCCCTATGTGAGGTCTTGTACGAGATGTGATTTCAAGGATGTATTGCAACATACACACTGTTTAAAAGAGGAACTGAGCCATCCTGACTACTGCCTTAAAAGTCTACACATGCAAGCAGGACCTCCCAAAAACGCTCTCATCCTTTCATTGGAAAAATAGGGGATCTTCTTGCATTCAGATTGGAAGGCACAAACAGTAGTGACACGTTATTTAATTAAAACTGTGACTTGTAAACAAAGGAAAAGTGCAGCGTATTATGAAACCCAAGGATTATGTTTTTAAAGATTATGAGTTGGCATTGATAGAAGGAAAGAAACTCACTGGTTCACAGAAGTGGCAAGCAAGGGCAGCTCCAGGCACTAGGAATAGCAGATGCAAGGGCCCTGTGGACAGGAGCGGGAAAGGCCCTTCCTGCGGGAGCCCGGGGGAGAGGGCCGAGCTCTCGTAGTGCCTGGGGGGTTCCTGGCCTCTCTTCAGGGGCAAGTGGGAGCCTTCAAGGGTTTTACACACCAGATTAAAGTGATTCGCCTCCATTTTAAGAGAGCCTTCTGGATGCATCCCACAATCATGACAGTCATGCTCTAATTACTTGAGCTCGGGGGACCCTGCACCTTGCATTCCCTTCTGTCATTTCCCTCCCTGTTTCAGATAAGTTTTCCTGAAAACTGAACTCATTTCCTGTGGCCAGGAGTCTCTCTCCCCTCCAGAACAGGACGGGTGCTAGAGAAGACTTTACGGATTCTTGGAATTTGGAGCCAAGGTGGATACCACCCATCTGAAAGGGAAGGTTCTCCCTTCATGACCTCCTTATAGGCAAGGAGCAAAGGACAAAGTAAGCCCAACAGGAAGCGAGACTCCCTGCTTCCCTCCATAGCTTTGCCACACTGCCCAGCCCAGCTCCGGCTCCAGGCAGGCAGGCCTGCGGCCTCGGGCTAGCCTGGGAGCTGTGGCTCTCTGGCCTCCAGTAGGCCACAAGGACACAGATCCTCCTCCCAGGCCAGCAGCGGCCTGGACACCCGCTGGATGTCTTCATTCACACAAGTTACATCCCATAGCACGTGGTGTTATATCTTACCAGTGCATAAGGTAAAATTAGAGCAAAGCCAAAATTTCCCTTGAAAATCTCTTATGATGCCAGTGCTGCTCCTTCCATTAAGCTGGTGGCTGCAAACAGGACATGTTGTAAGAAAAACTCTCTTTAAACACAAGCATGTCCCAAAGCTCTGTGAGATGCTCATACCATGAGAGGAAGCGGGACCCCCTGGGGGAACTTCAGATTCTTGACTGCCACACACACTCGCCCGGGACACTCACCCACTGAGTGGAAAGGCCAGCAGAAGCCACGGCACAGTCTGAACTACCACCTCGATGCCTCTGCTCCTCCCCCGTGCATCCTAAGTGGCCCGTGTGGGGTGCTCAGTGGAGCCCTTCTCTCACGAGCTGATTGGCACTGCACCTGGGCACCAGCCAGGAAAGGACAGGACAGGACTGGGGTCTGCCACAGGCCCAGGGATCCACACCCCAACGTGATGCGGCAGATGGCCCAAGTCACAGGAGGTGGCCCTAGTGTCGTCACAGACCCGTCCAGCCTCAGAGTGGACACACAGGAGAATGGGGAGCTGCTGGCCATTCTGGGCATAGGGTCTTTTATTCGATGTTCTGTGCTAGTTCTAGGTGGGACATGATTATCTTTAGGGCTTCCCAGGTGGCGCTAGTGGTAAAGAACTCGCCTGACAATGCAGGGGACATAAGAGATGCAGGTTTGACCCCTGGGTGGGGAAGATCCCCCGGAGAAGGGCATGAAAACCCACTCCAGTATTCTTGCCTGGAGAATCCCATGAGCCTGGAGGGCTACAGTCCCTAGGGTCGCAGAGTTGGACGTGACTGCAGCAACTTAGCACTGTGATAAAGGCTTCCCTTCGGCTTAATTCCAGCATGGCCCTGCAAAAGCCTGTCAAACAAGAATTTTCCCTCCCTGTGAGCCAGCCACCCCAGTCCATGAAATTTCTGTGCTTTGTGTGCGTGCTTCCAAACTGGAAATGTTACCTTGCCTTTTATTCACATTTTCCGATGATGAAACTGGTTTTAAAAATGCCCCGCACCATAGTGTGAGAGGGCTTTGGTACAACTCATGCACAGTTGGGGCGGATGGAGGGCTCCACTTCACCTCATCTCTCCTTTCTGCTTAAATATTATGCCACATCCTGATTAATACCAGACCAATAAAATCATCTCCGCAATCTGGTTAGAGGCTTTTGTCTTCCCAGATGGCCTGCAATGTTAATGTGTGACAATTTCAACAATGAACTAGGACTGTTTTATGGAACCAACATTTGTTCCACTGCTTTTTTTTTTAGACTCAGAATTTTGACACAGATGGTACAAATTACTCAAAAAACAGAAATGTTCATTTAGAAGGCTTAAATATGTGGTTTTACTCAGGCCATCAGAATATTTTACATTTGCAATTCAGTAAATTTACTAACAACCCTGCTATAATTAAGGTCTGTGAAAAAAAATCCCCTTTCTCCAGCTTTTTATATCTATAGAGTTTCATTAAAGCCAGAAAAAAAATATTATTATTTATTCTAGTTGTGCAATGTTCTTATTTCCTTGTGACATACATTGTTCGCCTCTGCTTTCTGTTTCCGTCATGGCTCCTAATTGCTGCTGAGGACAAGGGTAGGTGGGCTGCTGCTCCAAGGGCTCCCCCTTCACCCCGTGAATCAGGTTTCAGCTCCAAGTCACTGATCTCAATTGTTACAGCTGCAACATCTGCTAGAAACTTCTCGCTCAGAAGAAGGTGAGCTGGCCTTTTTCACCTCCATTTGCCATCTCTGCAAGGGTGGGCCCCACAGCACACGCCTTCTCCCAGCTGCAGCTGGTTCTTTGTTCCCAAGTGGACCCCGGTCTGCCTGTCAGCATCAGAGGATAGCACTGTTATTGTGACTCACGTTTCAGCCCTTGTTCTGGACAGGATTGTGCAAAGCACAATACACAGATACCTGGGGTTAATCTTCCCAGCAGCCCTATGGAGTGTTATCTCTTCTTAGAGATGATGAACTGAGGCTGAGAGAGGCTACATAAAGGTCAAGGCCTCCCACCGTAATCCCCTTAGCAGTGAGGGAGAGCACCAACAATTAGTAAGAACCATACAAGCAAAAGCTGGTGTTTTCCCTCATCCTCAGGATGATAATATTAAGAGGTGGGGCCTCTAGAAGGTGATGAGGCCATGAGGGTGGGGTCCTCATGATTGGGATTAGTGCTCTTATAAAAGAGGCCCCACGGAGCTCCCTGTCTCCTTCCATCACGTCATGTGTGGAAACCTTGAGAAGCTGGCAGTCTGCAGCCCAGAAGAGGGTTTTCAGAGGAACCGTACAATGTGGGCCCCCTAATCTTGAATTTCCAACCTCCAGACTGCAAGATATAAATGTTTGTTGTTTATCAGTAAAGCAAAACAAAACCCTGGTGTTTTGCTGAGTGCCTCCTCTGTGGCATGCACTGCACAGTCCTTCCCACCGGTTACCTCATCTAACCCTCCTCTTACAAATGTGGGCACTGAGGCTGAGAGGAACGAAAAGGAAGCGGGATGGTGCCCACTGGGGCAGAGGCAGCCAAGGGAACTGGGAACCCATCACAGCCGAGCGGACACAGCCTGGAGAGCCAGCAGCTCCCCGGCGGCCTGCATCTGGTCTCCGCTCCGGGAGGACATCTCCGAGGAAGGTGTGCTAACCACACCCCCACAGCCGCCTAAGACCGGGGGGGCCTGCTCCCACCTCAGCTCCCGACACCTTCCCTCTGCCTTTCCCCCGCGTGGTCAGGTGAGTTGACTGCTGCCCGTATACAAATCTGGGTTCATGGGAGACCTTGGCCGCCAGCAACCAGAAGACAGGTCTCCCCATTCCTGCCCTGGCCAACCCCCAGTACCCAGAGTCTGGAGAGTGCCAGCACACAATAGTCTCCGACTACTAAGGAGAACCTATTGCAAAATGCAAGCCGGCAGTCATGGCTTTTAGAAATGACCAGAGCCCCCGAGTCAGGGGAGAGCTTTTCAGGGGCTGATGTGGAGGGGTGCCTACAGAACGCACATTAGGCTCTCCCCCTGGTGTCCCGCACGCAGGGGGGGCTCAGCCAGTGTTAGCTGTTGCTTCTGCCATTACTTCTTTTTAATTTTATTTTATTTTTAATTGGAGGATAATTACAATTTTATAATTTTTGTAAAAATTTACAATTTTACAAATTCTGCCATACATCAGCATGAATGAGCCAAAGGTATACATAGGTCTCCTCTCTCTCAAACCTCCCTTCAAGCTCCCTCCCCATCTCACCCTTCTAGGTTGTCACAGAGGCTTTGGGTCCCCTGTGTTACCCAGAAAATTCCCAGTGGCTATCTACTTTATATATGGTGCCATCACGCCTAGGATTATTCTTTTGGAAGTCTGAAAGGTCAGTAGGATAATCCGATCTGCAGCAGTTCTGGTCCTGGAGGGAGGTCCTGACCGCAGAGCCACACTCAGGCAGTGCTTCCCTCTTCCAGGCCTTTTTCTGGGGGCTTCTGACTGAGCTCAACACCACCCCCCGACCTGACACGAGGCCCTAGGTGAGCAGACTCCTCTCAACTGCCTTGGTGATTTTCCTGAGATGGAGTCGAGGGGAAAATGCAGCCCCCGACCCAGAACCTAAACAGGACAGGGCATCCTTATTCCTTCCTGCCTGGAACTTGAACAATTGTCTGCTTAAACATTTTCCAATATTATTTTCCCACTAATAATGATTGTAATAAAAGCAACACCAGCATCCTGTTCACTGCTTCACTGACCAGAGTTTTGGTGTTTGCTTTCGGCATTAGGTGACATCCGATTCTATTTCAGCTTTGGTTCTTGTTGTCCAAATATGTAAACAAATAATTTATTTCAACTTTAAACTTAAAAAAAAAAAGAATGCATCAACCATTGTTGTTCTTTGCTAATCCTTGCAGTGAGTATGATGCATTTTGTGTGAGGCTTCAATTCATTAGAACATTCTACTAGCACTGCCAACAAAGTGCATTCTGAGTTTTTAAATGTTGTTTCCATGAAAATCAATCACTCCTTGCAATTAAGCCAATAGTCTCACCATTTTTGCTGTTATGAGCTAAAGCATCCTAAATATATTGACAGCTGTCTTCGATAGGATGACACAAACAAGCGGGGAGCAGGTCTAAGACTAAATGTCACCAAGGGGAGCGGGTGAGCTCCTCTCGCCGAAATGTACCTCATTTTCATATCCCAGAAGGCATTTAATACACTTTTTTTTTTTGCAATGGCAACATACAGTAATCAATGTTTTGCATATTACAATCAATAACACACTTAAATGTTTAAGTTTTGCATTCTTTTGCAATAAATATTGATATATTACAAACTCTGTAAAAACTGTTCATTGGACTTTTTGTTTGCACTGTGTACTGTATCATTCAGCAAATAAGTGAGCTAAATATTGTTTGTTACAAAACAGATGTCAAATAAAATTATGCCATATGTGCTATTAAACACTTTTCTTATTTTTTTTTCAGCAAAACCCAAGACTTAGTTTTAGAAGTGAATGTATTTGGCTTTTCAAGGATTTGAAGCATGAAAGCAACATCTTTGAAATATTTTTAAACCTGCTGGCTTTGTGTGATCCAGTTTTGTGAGCTAATTCTGAATGTTATTGTAGATTTAAAATTTAAAATTCAGATAGATAAATAAAGACATGGATATGAACACAGCAATCTAGAGTCTCAGATTAACTTAGTGTTGCCAAACAGAGGAAAAATAAAGGAAATTCTGTGCAAGAAAAATTAATTATAAATAAATATAAATGTACATATAGAGAGGAAATTAGGAGAGTTTTTTCCTACTTGACTAGAGAATGTGAGAAGGTAGAAAAGAAAACTTCCAAAATTGGTCCTGCAGAGTAAAAGGGTGTGGTCTGTTTGGAGATGTGGGGGTGATTCAGGAGGTATGGGGTCCAGCCCAGCCCCCCAGGTGCTCCAAGGGGCTGGAATGAAGGCGGGGGAGCATGCAGGGCAGCAGCTAGCCCCAGAGGGACTTACAAGGCCAGGAAGGAACAGGGGAAAGGGGGTGGGGGGGCCAAGGACATGTCAGTGAGGAGCTGTCCTGACCAGTGTCCCTCATGCCCTCCCCTCATTCGGCCCAGCAGGGGTCTCCGCCGCCCCAGGCCTGTCAGAAGCGTTTGCACTAGATGGATGGATCTCTCAGCCTGCGGAAGTGTGAAATGTGAAACAGAATGAGCAGAATGCAAGAAACATGTTGCTAAGAGCCACCAAGTGAAACAAAATCTGGAGGCCCCGCATCCTAGCTTTGGCACCAGCGGCCCGGATGCTTCTCCCACGGACAGAGGCGGGAAGCAGCAAGGTGCAAGAGCCGGCCAGGCTGTGGGGGCAAACCGAGGAGGCCATTGTGGCCCATGGCCACAGCGCTTCCGGTCCACCTTCAAAGAAGGCCTCAGATTTCTGCTATCAGCTTCCGTGTTGGAGGGATCTGAAACACAGAACAGCTGAGACCCCTTTCTACCCGGGAGGGCCCATGGGGACTAAAAGCGCTGTGATACCTGCATCCTCTGGTATCAGCCCTCAGAGACAGCTGGCTTCTGCTTCTTGCCATGCCCTTGCATCCTCACATCCCTGCATCCGTGCATGGGACCCTACTTGTGGGCCAGATGCCATGTAACGCCCTCCCCAGCCCACATGGCAAACCTCTCACTACCCACTGAACCTGAGCGGGACATGCATGGACAGCCTGAGTATGTGGACGTCACGCTGATTGACGGGGGTCAGTGTCGACAGGTAACTACGTCCCCATTTTGTCTCCCCAGGTGGACAGTTGAGAGTTGCATGTCAGTCGACTCTTCAGCAGGTCCCTCAGGATCAAGCATCTGTGGCATGCTCCACGTGGTATCCTCTGCTCCACCACCCTCCCCACCCCCACTTACTGGATTATGTTCCCAGTAAGCTATCTGGGCACTTAGACCACGGCATTGGGCTCTGCATTCCAAAGGAAACCAGGATGAGACCCTCCCCACATCTAAGCCCTCCCGATTCTGGGCCTTGGTTTATTTTGGGCCCCTGCCCTAAGGTTAACATTTGGCAAGGGTCCATGCCCCAGGCAAGCTCTTTTGAGAGTCCATCAGTTACCAGATTTTTCTGGGACTGATAAATGTTTTAATGAGATGGCTTGTTTACTTAACTGATGGCTGCTGTCCTCTTTAGGTGTTCTTAGCCCATCAAAAGGTATATCCTTCAACTAATAAGTGATACCCTGCAATAGCAGCCCTGAGAACTTTGGTTCCTGAGTCCAGACACTCCTTGGGGACTTAGAGGTGACCCCTGGGGGTTATTGGCAGCCTTGCCTCACAGCACAGAGCCTCCTGCCTGGACTCTGGACAGTCGTAAAATGGAACATGTCTGCTTACATCACTCCTTCCTTCGTTTTTCAATCACAAGAGCCCTTTTGAGACTTGCATGTGCCCAGCCACAGTCCAACCTTGGAACTTCCATCTGGAAGATGACACGCAAGAATCCAGATCCCCAAAGTCACAAAGGACCCAGGTGAGTGACAGAGTTTCATCCTCAAGCCTCAGACTCTAGTGCTGGAGTTGCATGGAGGACCAGAAAAATATCGAGGAAGCCCTGTTTTCTCTGGGAAGTGACAGTACCGGAACATCCCTGCATTCAAAGTCTGGTCTCGAGGACCACATCTGTGAGCCCTCAACACAGTCAGCATCTCCCACGGGAGGGAAGCAGAACTCACATCCCGGCCTGCTCTTCTCGGGCTTCTTTTGGTCTGTTCCTCACTTCTGGGGCTGGAGTCTTGCTCACCTACACCTGGGTCCTGCCTTCTCCACTGGGCTGCGGAGCCAGGGCCCAGGGGGCGGGTGGTGTCTGAGTCTCCCCAGAGCCCCCCACCGCTGACCATGACAGAGCTTTGCAGGCAGAGGGGAGTGACCGGGACCCGTCCCCACTTCACGGGGGATGGAGGGAGCCCCAAGACCTTTGAGCATGGGGAGGGGAGGCTCCTCCAAGGAGATGAAGAACTAGGCCATGGAGGGTGAGGAAGAGCAAGAAAAAAGGACCAGCAGGATCAAAGTGCCAGCACAAGGCCTGCCTGAATTGAGCTGCCTGCCTGCCTCCCCATTGCACCCACAGAAGTTTTATCCTGAGAATCACCCCTCCCTGTTCTTGAGCTACACAGAGGCATTTATCACCCTTGCTTCCAAATGCATCTGAACTCAACCACCGAGTTTATCCAAAGGCAGTAGGGTCATTAAATATTTTAAGCTGCGGAGGGGTGGCCGTGGAGATCATCAGATTTGCAATTTAAAAACCTCGTTGGTCAGCTGTGCGGACGATGCTTTCAAAGAAGTGGAGGGGCTGGAGGCAGAAAGTCCAGTCGAAAGCTGTGGCCACCATTGGGAAGGAAGGAAGGGGCTGGCAGGGGAGCTGGAATCTGCAGGACTGAGGAATCAGAGCCACAGGCCGTGGTGAGAGGCTGCGTGGGGCTGAGGGAGGGCAGGTGGTGAGGATGAGTCCCGGGGTCTGGCTGGGCAGCTGGGTGGATGCGCGGAGCCGGCGCTGGGGTGGAAAGAACTGCAGGAGCCAGAGTGGGTCAGCCGTTGGTAATGTAACCAGTGAGCTTTCTCCTCACAGTGGGCTCAGGGTGGCTCAGACTGGTGGTGTGGTGGAGGCGGAAAACTGTTTCCAGATGGTTCTTTGGATTGAGTTTCATCTTTTGGTAACGGACAGGTGAAACAAGAGAAAGAGAATTTGGGAGCCTGGCTGCTGCTTTGGGAGCCTGGGGGAGGGATGAAGCAAGGACAGAACCTCAAAGGAGGTGGAGAAGGGGGTTTGGTCCCCCAGAGGCAGCAGGAGCGCTGGGGAACACAGCAGCAGGCTGCTCAGGCTGGAGGTGAGAGCACGGAGCAAAACCAGTGACCGGCGGCAAGTGAAAGAAACCTGGGTGTCACCTTGGTTTAACATTTCCCACTAGTACACTCTTCTCCCACATGTAAGCTGTCCTGGGATGTGGGCCTTGGAAACCTTTACCTTATATGCTTAGAATACGGAGGACATCAAATTCCAACCATTAAACTGTTGGGGGGGGGCGGGGTCCCAGGTGCCTATGGGGTCAAGCAGATGACACAGATGTGAAATGGGGCCAGAGATAAAAAGATCATGTGACCTTCAAGATGACCGCTGCTACCCTCAGCCTCAGGGCCGGAGAGGCTGTTGGGAGTGGTGGGGACTATGGCAAAGTGGGCAGTAAGTGCTCCATTTGTTGAGGCACTTAAACTATGAATCCAGGGTTGTTACATCTTCTATTTTTTTTTTAATCTAGAAATTGAAACTTAAAAGCAAAACATAAAAATAAAACAACTCCTAACAGGTCAGAAAGAGAACTATAGAAGGCTGGATTGAGCCTATGAGTCATGGATTCTTTCAATCAAGATCCCATACATCCCAGCTCTCCAGCTGGCCCCGTGCATTCAGACCCTTGGAAGCTGGAGCCCAGTGGATTCACCGTCTGTGACGATAGAGAAAAATGGAAGCATAGAGGGGCTTCTCTGGGAGCTCACAAAGAAAGATTTCTGAGGCCAGATCTCAAAATGTTAATCAGATTCAGAGACATAAAACATGACAATTTAATGGTGTTTAGTGGAAACTGAAAATTCTTTAAAGTTCTAACTATCCTACATTGAATTCTAATACTTTTTTAATTATTAGATATAAAATGCTTATAATTTTAGGGGGAAATTAGACTTGGTAATTTATATTCCTTGTTTATACAGTACAATTTACTGATGAAAAAATGTGCTAAACTTATTGATTCATGACCATAATTGTTTAATTATTTATCATTGCAGAATGGTATTAGCATTGCTAATAATGCAGATGTGCACAAAGGCTGAGGAGTCAGATGCAGCTTTTGTTTGGGGTGCACTGGGCTCAAGGAAGGTTGTTTCAGGCCGGAGGGCAGCCTGCCTGAGATGTGAGGTTCCTGAGGCACACCTGTCTCCATGAGGATGACCGCAGAAGAATTCTCCATCACAAGAACAGTAGAACTAGAGGGCCACACACGGGTCTTGCCTCTCTGGATTCAGAGCTTGGGCCTGAGAATCAGCTCTCAGTCACTGTGAGGGTTCTTCACTCTGCCCACAGCCCAGCGGGTCCACATCCACTTGTCCTTCATGATCCAGCTGACTTCCAGGGTCCAAGAGAGCTCAATGAGAGCCACGATCACAGAGACTGGAAGGGGTCAACAGAAGGTTCTAGCATCCCCTCAGGCTGGCTACACATCCATGTTCCTCTCCATCACCTAAATCCAGAGGAAAAGCAAATCCTTTAAAAAGTCAAAGGTAATGTGAGACCTCAAGCCCCAGACCTACTCTCAGAACTTGCAGATCATCTGAATGAACCTGCCCATTTTACAGACAGGGAAACTGACTCTTAAAGAGAGGGTCTAGATGCTCTGAGTAATAATCGTCTCTAGCCTTCTGGAGAGTCAAGCAGAGACATCCAGAGGGTGTGGAATGTGAGCCTAAATCTCAGAACAGAAGACTAGCCTGCAGACACATGTGGGCGTTGTCAGCACCAGTGTGCTGGGGTAGATTAAATTATTGGTCCCAATTCCTCACTGTCCCATGATAGAATCATCCATCCACTTTCTTGCCACAGCTCACTATGAGTCAGGCACGCTTCCTGGCCCCCTGACCTTGGGGTCCCCCCAAAGCCCACCAGTCAGGCAGTAACAGGTACAATGGAAGCAGAAACTTGAGGCATTTGTGTGCAGGTGGTCTTGCTGGCTTGTGCTTTAGGCTTTGCCATGAGAAGATCATGCATGTGTTGTCCAGAATGAGGCAGAACTACTCCAGCCAACCACAGAGGCTTCACTGAGAAACGCATGCTCACTTCTGTCTGACGCTGCGTTACTTTTGTTTGTGATACAGCACTAGTTAATTGACAAGGTAAGCTTTCAAGCTATGGGAGTAGGTAGGATCACCCAGGGAGGACAAGGAGTGCAGAAGAAAGACAAGGAATAAACCTGAAAAACTCAGCATTTAGAGGAGAGGACAGGAGCCACCCAAGAGCCACTAGGCAGAAAGAAACGAAAAAACATTACTGTGGGTGGCAAGGGCCAAGAAAGGCACAAATTTCAAATACCTACATACTGCATGTTGTCAACCAGCATCAGAGTAGGGAAGCCTATTGGATTTGTGCATATCAAGATCGGCACAGGGTGGAATCCCAAGATGAAGGTTGGGCTGCAGGAGCCAAATAATGGACAGATGGTGACAAGACAGTCGGTTCAGGGAGCTCAAACATCCAACAGCAGAAGGGGGACAGAAATGTTTGGAAATTCTAAGGTGTCCATGTCTGGGGGCCCAGCATCAGTAAGCAGTGCAGACAGGATAAGCTCCTTGTTGCAGACAAGAAACTGAAGGGCGAAGGGGACAGAGCCAAGCTTAGACTTGACATGGGTGAGGAGCTTGCAGCTGTACCGAGCAGCATCTGGGTCAGCCTGAGGAGGCTCCTGGCCCTGGGGTCCTGCCCCCCCGCAGGCCAAGACTGCCCCCTGGGGGTGGTGATCTGCTTCTGCGAGTCTCTGACGCCTCCCCTACGGTCAACTTACTTCCCATCTAGCTTAGCAGAGGTCCCTGGAAGGCAGGGTGTGAATTAGACCCACGGATGGAGGCATGCTGGCCACCCTGACTGCCATTTGGGCCTGGATTTAAAATTCCTAAGTACCCAGCTGTGACCCTGGAAGCCACTGCCGTGGAGAGGGTCCCAAG